TTTGTGACTTCGAAATTGTCGAAACGTATCACGAAGATGAGCCTGTGACTGTGTCAAATCATGTGGATGATTCGTGGATGTAAATTATCAAGGAAAGAATTGTATTTTTGTAAAATAGGATATTGAATTGATTTTTTATTAGTTTTAGTTACTGAAACGTTTGGATTATGCTTGTGATTTGTTGAATCTTTACTTTGTATGCGTTTTGCTTGCTGCTCACTGAGTTTCTTTGCTCGATTTGGCTTTGCATTGCCTGAGAGATTTTATTTCGTGGTAAAAAAAATTGTTTACTTCTTTAATACTTGCAATCCGGGTCATTTGGCTCGGCTTTGCAGTCACTGAAATATGAAATCTTTAAAGTTTATCGAGATCTAAAGATCTAAAGAGTATGGCAATCTAGCTATGACAGTTACTCTTACAAATCTTCTTGAAGATTACAAATCTAGAAGCTTCTAAAAGTGATTCCATTTCAAGCGACTCACACAAGTGTAAGGGGTATAAGTGCCTCTTCTCCTTCAGCGTAAACAGTCGACATTGTCAGCATAAGGATAGCCATGAGAAGGACGATTATCAGAAAGTATTTCATTTTCAAAAGATCTCCACTGAACGGCTTATCTCAGTGCATTTATATTCAACCCTTCTTCCATCGGTGTGACCAAAAAGTTGAAAAGCGCAGGTTAGCAAAAAAAGTGATGACCTCGAGAAAGTAAGGAAAAATAAAAACGAAACCGGCGCGTTTCTTTAAAAGGAAGTAAAATTTGAAGAAATTTTTGTGGACCTGTGAAGCAAAAGTGAAATTTTTGATGGTTAATCAATACAATAAATCCCAGAAACTCTTGCATTTTCCAAGGAATCTTTAAACAATTAAGTTTACCATTTGTTCACCTAAGAAGTCTTACAATCAGTTTTCAGACAAAAAGTAATTGTTGTTATCATCGTGCTGATAGAGATCGCAAGCTTTTAAGTTAAGCTTTAGCTTCTCAAGAACTTGACTAAAGGATCACTTTTAGTTTTTCATGAACTTAGACTCCCGCATTACATCAGAGCCCGTATGCTAAGCTCCGGGAAAAGTTCCGGCCAGTTCTGATCTTTGATAGGCACCTTTGATCTTTAGTTTTCTCACAGCACGTACTTTTTTTCCAGAAAGTTTCCGGTAAAATTTTCTACCGGAACTTTCTGAAGAACGTTCCCAGGAAAAGTACGTTCCCAGGAAAACTATGGACTATTTACCGGAATCGAAGGTGCCGCCGTAAAGATCAAAGGACGTTTCCCGGTTTTTTCACTCATGTGTTAGACAGTTTAGGATAGATAGTGTTAGATAGTTTCAGTTTCCCGGTATCACTGTTTTTCTTGAGAAATAATGACTGAAGTAAATTCTAGGAACAGATAGCTTTTGGAACATAAACGTGAACGTGAAGAGAACAGTACAAGACTCAATTTGAGAGAAGTGGAAAGGGGAGAAATGAGAGAAAAAGACCAAAAGACCAAAAGAGATCGATTCGAATGTTTTTACTTCCCTTACGTGTTTTGCTCACAACATTGCACCACTATTTAACATTTTCCTTGGGATAAAGTAAACCATTCTCTTGAGAATCGAGCATTAAACGTATTCTATTTTTTATTTTGAACAATGGATCATTTCAAATTTACCAATTTTCCTTCGGTGCTTCTGGAATCAATTTTGGAATGGATACAAGATGATGAAGCTCATCAACTATTACAGGTCAATAAGAATACAAGAGCATTCATTCAAAAAAGAGGAATCTTTCCTAAACAAGTCTCACAAATCAAAATGTCTATTACCTATACTTACGGCAAAGAAAGTTATCTGATGAGAGAGGATGAGAATGAACCAAGAGAAGGATCAAGAGAAGAACCAAGAGAACAGTTGGCTTTTGAAGCAATTGTTGATCCAAAAGGCCACACCGAGCATTGCGTGAACGAGAAATGGATGATTCCATTCAATCCATGCAAAAGATCTCGATTGCTTTGGAAACAGTTGAATCAAGTCAAGAGTTGCCGACAATTTTCCATAAATTTCATAAACAATGAGTCAAGTATCGATGGTTTATCTGAATTCTTGGAGAATCAGCCAATATTCTCATCCCTCCATCATATTGAACGATTCGTTTTGCAAGGAGAACCAAGTCTCTTTCAAAACATTTTACCATTCATTAATCCGATCACCGTCGATCATCTAGAAGCTTTCCCGGCTGAAATTGAGACAAGTATGTTCTTTGGGATTACAATGCATCATACTGAGAATTGGAAAGCATTTGCGGATGAGATTTTCAAAAAGAAATCTTTGCAAAATCTGAAATGGTTGAGTAGATGCTTGTTGAAGAGTCATTTGTCTGAGCTAAGGGAAATCAATGTAAACACAAAACACATTGAATTCAATTGTTTCAATGTTCACACTATCGAGTGTGCTTTGAAAGACTTTCTTCAAAACGGGATTCCCAGTAAAGATCCCAAAATGTCCACACAGATTCGCGACTATCTTCATAAACAACACAATTCGATAGATGTTTATTATCAACACTATTTGAGAGTTATTTCATCGAATCCGAATGTGAAAAGTCTTAAAAGAGAAGAAATGAGTGAAGAAGAGGTGAACTTATTGAAATATCTCAGACATCGGAGCTCAAGAAAGTTCAATTGGGAAATGGATCCGTCGAATAATTGGAAATATTGGGAAAATGAGAGCGATACTGAAAAATTTCAAGCTGAATATTTTCTCCAAAAGAATGGAGATCGAGAAGTGATTCTCTTTTACAGTGTTGATGAACGGGCTTTTCAAGGATCTGAAGTTGCGGTTAATATTGTTTGGATGCCGAGGTTGAAAGTTCATTGATCAACCAGATCAATGACTTGGAGAAATAAAAACTAATAAGTAAAATATAGTATTTTTTAATTCTAGTCTTATTTTTTTACTCTTTTGTTAAAAATTATCTATTTTCCGGTTCTTTTCAGTATATATTTTTGTGAAATTGAAATTTGTACGCACTATGAGATGAATAACAATGTCTTGAATAAAGTTGAATGAATAGACTGGGTTCAATTCAATTATTCATTGATTTTATTGAATTGAATATTAAAACTACGAGAGATTTGCAAAAGTCAATGCGAATTTTAAGAACATTTTCGAAAAACATCGCTACAAAAGTTACCTGGTAAAGTTTCTATACTTAGACAATCAAAAAGTCTTAGGTTTTTGAATTTTTGGTTTTTACAGATGAGTTTCAACTGTCTACTCTATTTTTAAAATCTTTCTTTGCTCTATCAAACCATATTTCAAACTGCAAACTACATACCGTAAATACTGTAATTGGGCCCCACCCCTCTAATAATACCCCACCTAGCGCGTAATTACAAGCAACGCTTTTAAAGCGGAAAATTTCCATGTATTTTCAGAAATCGTTTGTATTTTTAATTTTATCCCATAAATTTTTTGTGCGACTCGCCATAACTTTCTTCTAAGTGGGCCAATCTTTATGATTGTAGATCTCAACAAGTGCAACAAAGTAACACCAAAATCATAAAGATTGGCCCACTTAGAAGACTTGAACCACTTAGGAGCCACTTGAACTGGAGGGGATTGATATCGGTTTGGCTGAATGGATACGGGATCATCGAGCCGAGAAGAGACGAGTGACACGCCGGTTTATCTGGAATGAAGCGGCCAATCGATTCGAAAAAGCTGAAATTTCTTTCAAAGAAGCCACTGGATGGAGTCATTCTTGTGGCGCCAACAACAACTTGTCAAAAGTTGCCGCGCGAATTTGAGAAGGCCATTATTGAGCACATTCTGAGGCTGAACAAGACAATCAAAGAACGATAATCCAATAAAAAAACGTTTTCAAATCGGAATTCCTCAGAATTTCGAGTGGCTAGAGGTGTGGTCGGTGCGGTGTTATAGTGAATCATTTGTGCTCTAAAACTTCTCATATTTTTCACGAAAACACCATCACTCGATAGGCGATATCATGGGATTATGGGTGCCATCATGGTCACCACCATGAGACCATCAATAGGGTTAAATTTTTATCATGAAGCGGAGACTTTCTACTGGCATTGTGGTGTCATATTAGAGCTAATATGTCAACTAAGATTATTAACCAAACAGATTATAAGCCTGGAACATGCACTAATCTCTCATACATAAGGCCCTTTCAACTCACCGCCTTCAAAGAGAGGTCTAGGTTTCCAAGAAACTTCTCAACAAGTTAATAATCTTCTAATGTTTGGTTAATAATCTTATTTGGCATATTAGCTCTAATATGACACCTATGGCAGGAATTTTGCCCTGTTAATGGTATGATGGTGGCATCCATCATCTCATGATACTCACTATTGAGACATGGTGATTTTATGAATAAATATGAAAAATTTTAGGGCACAAGTGATTCGTTAAGACAAGAAACCAATCACCTCTAGCCACCAGAAATTCTGAGGAATTCCGGTTTGAAAACGTTTTTTTATTGGACACTTATATAAAAGAGCTGTGTCGGTGTGTCTGTGTGTGCGCACCACTGCTCCGCACCCAGCGGGCTGTTTCAAATGACTTATGGTTAGTTAGGCCATATAGTGGTGCAATATGTTTTTAAACTTTTAAAAAAACTGAAAGTGCCGACGCGGGCTGGAGTCGAACCTGGGTCGTGTGGGCTAGAGACAAGTGTGCTCGCACTGCACTATCTACCTAAGCATGGCCGAGTAGTTAATGCGCGTGTCTCTCAAAAGAACGGATGAGAGAGCTCACGGGTTCGACTCCTCTCTTGAATAAATATTACAGGAAAGTTGCCTATCAAACTAAAACACATCTACATGTTTACATAAAAATAAAGATGTTCTTTCCTTTTCCTAATCTCTCAACAAGCCATTCTTTTACACTTTTTAATAAAAACATCGTTCTTTTCGATAGACATGCAGAGTGAATTCCATTTTCCTTGCCTAACCTTTCCAAGTCTTTCATTGAAAATTGATTAAAACCGAATCTTCACATGGCCACCAACATTTTTCCATTTCAGAAACTCCCACTACAACAGAAAGATTACATTTTGAAAGCTATTGGTTTAAATGATATTCTTGTAGCTAGCCAAATCAACAAAGAACTCAGAAATGGAATCTTCACTAATGGACCTTTTCCGAGAAAGGTTGAGACTATCAAAATTGAGGTTAGTTTCCCATAGAAGCGAATTGAAATCAAAAAAACTTTAGCTGTTGAAATATCGAATCGAAAACGATACGCTTTTAGAAATCGGATGCGAAATAACAATACAATCCGGAAATGATTCCAAGAAATTCTCACTGCATGCTCAAAATGAACGCCTTGATGTACATTTGAATGAACAAATCCCAATCCTCGCAAAACCTTTCTTAAATTTGTTCAACAAACTGACAACATTGAAAGATTTGCAGCTACAATTCGGCAACTTTTCCCATGAATCATTCGAGTACTTTGATTTGGATGGTCTAATATTTTATCTGTTAGAATTCGGATTCTTCAATCAACTCCGTTTATTATCGACTCTCCGAATCATGGGCTCTCTCGATTTGGCAAAGATTTTCTTCTCAAATTTCCAAGCTGAAATCCTCGATGAGTTAAATCTCAATTTTTATTGGGATACAGAGAGAAATCTCGAAGCAAAGCAAGCTTTTGAAGAGATATTTCAAAGGTCATCTGTGCGAAAATGCCAAAATTTCAACTGGATTGGCTCTCCAATTGCTGGAGTGAATTTTCTGTTCTTGAATTCGAAAAACGTTTCAATTGAATATGGAGATGATTCTGTTGGATTTAAGTGCGTAATTGATTCACTCTTAAAATCAAAAGTTTCAAATTTGCTCAACGAAAACTCTTTGATCAAGTTACAATATTGGAATTGCAATGGCTGTGACGCGGTTCAGGTATGAATTTAAACTGAAGAGTGAAGATTTTAAACTCTTTATGAAAGCAGAAATATAAAATCTGGAATAAATCTAAAAGATAGCCAGCTTTTTGGTGTATTTGATACCAAATTTACAGGAATACCATGATCTTCTCACGTCCCACGGAGCAATTGAACTTCAAGATGATGAAGAAATGCTTTCGAATCAGAGTTTTCCAATTTTCGATCCTGATTCAGTGACGAAGCTTTTCAAAAAGAAAATAAATGAGCAAAAAGAAGCAATGATTTTCTCGAGATCTTTCGAAGAAAAGAAACCGAGACATCGAGGATCCGATCAGGCGATTCAAATCTTTATCAAATACCGGCCTATTTAATGGGTCTATTAACTGTGCTCAATAAAAGAACTCAATAAATGATTGCAACTCAATCAAAATTATTTATAAAACATTTAAATAAACGTGATAAAGAAAAAGAAGAAACCCACGCTCCTTTTCATAAAGCTCATTCAGTGTTAAAGCGATAATTGACTTACGTGTGACTTTCAATCATCAATTGAATGACGGCCGCAAAACAAGTTAATATCATAAATTCTATTTGTCTTAGTTTTGGCTGACATCAATGGCGAGTGATTGACTCAAGCAAAACTTCACGGAGCTTTAGTGGATTAAGAATTAGACTGCGCCAGGTGAGGTGCTCAAAGACAACGTAAACGTGTCAATACGTGTTGTTTCCCATTCGGATCCGATTTGGTTCCGATTTGGTTCCATCACAAATCAAGTACAATTGTATCATTTTACAATTGTATCAAGTCTCTGAAACTCAGTCTCTCGTTTAAAGTCAAGGTTGAGGTTGATGTCTGGGATTTCTAGAGTAAACTACAATTGAATGACAATAGCGGTGTAGACAGCCCAACCTCAAGCACTTTTCGACACAACAAAGCTCATAGCTCAAGCCAATTCAGAAAAACTATGTATGAATTAAGGAACTTTTTAGAAAGCCTTGTGTAAATACGATTCTTTCATAAACAATACGTTGGCAACACATTTAACACGCCCAAGACTTGGAACAACACGCCCAAGACTTGGCAAGGTAACGAGATATATGCAAGAGCATAAAGAAACAAAGAAATTTACAAAGCAGTAAATTAGAAGTGGGAAATTTTCAGAAAAGCGCAACTGATCCTTTTTCTCGGGGTAGGCTAATTTCCACCATCTTATTTGTGCAACAGGGTCATTAGCGCAACTGGGTCTTTTGCGCAGCTTGCCATAACTTTGTTCTAAGTGGGTCAATCTTTATGATTTTGGTGTCATTTTGTAGATCTCGATAAGTGCAACAAAATGACACCAAAACCATAAAAATTGGTCGACTCAGAAGAAAGTTATGGCGAGTCGAGGGTTCAATCAGGCTTGCAAGATAAAAGTTTCTTTTTCCCACCAAGTGGGTTTTTTCTTTCACAACATTTGCGTAATAAGGGTAATAGGAGTAACGGCCGAAATGCCATAAAATTGTGTGTTTAGACCTTTATGTCTTATTATGTATCCTTTGTTTGCATCACATTATTGGTTCAATAAATGTATTCACTTTATGAGAATTCAATTTTTGAGTATCTTTTCATGCCTTTCATGATCTTTTCAATTCTAAATCATTTTTGCATCATCAAGCAAATCTTTTTTTGAGCTAAAAAGTGCTACGTAAACGTTAATTAAATTCTACGGGGATCATGACTTTTTCGCGGACTTTTTCAAGTTGCAGTAAATTTGTTTTTCTGTTTGTCTGCTTTTCTCTACTTCTAAAAGCACAGATGAAATTAGACGAACGATCTCGAAAAGTTCATTATATATAAAGAAGCCAAAGGTGATTTCAGTTTCCAGGTTCAAGTACAGTTTTAGGCCAAAAGCTCAGGCCAAAAGCTTAAAGCCAAAGTGTTACTTTTAGTCCAAATTCTTGCACATCATTTTTTTCAATTAGGCACTTCTTTATTTGGTAATTCGCACGTCAATTTCCTTCTTCAAAGATTGAGACACAGACTTGCACACAAGAATTCATTCAATTCAATTTTGGTTCATTCACATTCACAAGAGTTCAATTTGGGCTCATTTAAAGCTTTTGGTTTTTTGCTTTTTTTCAATTTCAATTTCAATTTCAATTTCCACTCAAAGCTTTCAATTTCAGAAATGGGAATTTCAAATTTCGACAAGTTTGCCCGCGTTACAATCTATGTGAATGGATCACTCTCCTATCTCCTCAATCTCATTCTTATCTACTTTATCGTTTTCCATAGTCGAAAACAAATGGGCACGTATCGTTATTTGATGCTATTATTTGCATGCTTTGATCTGATATATCCAACAGTGCATATTGTTGCAATGCCGGTAAGGTTCTTTTGGTTTTGAAAGAAAGAATGCTTTAGCAAATCCACGTTCATGAGTACGGCTTTGTGCTATTTCCGACTTCATTTCTTGAGAACACAATGATGCCTGCTCATTGGGGAATGGTCTTGTATGGGAGCTTGTTTTGTCAGGTTTGTTTGAGTAGCTCATTAGAACTTATGCTTAAGCTAAACTAACAAATCAAAATGATAAACTAACAAATCTTTATGATTTGTTAGTTTATCATTTGTTAGTTTACACAGCAACCTCCTGTTATACGTAAATTAAAATGGAAAATGATTCCATTTCAGAGTCTCGTCCTTTTAGCCTTTCACTTTGTATATCGATATCTACTCATTTGCAAGTAAGCCTTTAAATCAGTCCTTTTATCTTGTTTTCTCCAGAAATCATTTCCTCTACTTATTCAACTCAGCAAAATACATCCCTTTGTGGTTTTCGCTTTGGCTTTTGATGGGAATCATTTGGGGAACCGTGCTTCATATTTATATGTATCACTCGAAAATGTTGACGGTTGGTTTTACCTCTTCTTGTTTACTTCTTCGTACTTGTTTTTGTTTGTTTACCTGTTCGTAATCGAACATCAAGAACTTTAGGACTATTTTCGTGAGACTCTCTGGGAAACGTATGGCTACGATGTGAACAAAAGTGCAATCCTTGGACCAGTCTATAGAGTTCGTAAATTTATGGCTTTTGCCAATATCTTGTCTTGTTTGGCTATCTCTAGTTATCAAAAGGAACCTTTTTTAAGCATCCAAACGAACTCGGAGTGTTAGTCTGGGACTGGGGACAACTCTTTTCATTAGCCGTTTGCATGGGTGAACTTGGATCCACATTTATGGTCATCATGTTTTGTACCTGGAATATTCATCAAACGTTAAAGGTAGACTTTTCTCTTTTACTCATTGATTACCTTCTTTCAGACCACCGCCATGAGTGAAGCTTCAAAACGGCTGGAGCAACAACTTTTTAAAGCTTTACTAGTTCAGGTACTTTGACAAGAAAATGATTTCCAAAGACTAGCTTTCACAAACTTGCCATATCTCCCTAACAGTATTGTACTTCGCTGAGCCGAGTTGGTGACTATTTTACAGTTTCCAAGTTTTCGCAGAGATTCAACACTCAAATCCCCCACAAGATCTCATCGTCAGCTACATTTTCCGACCCCACATCGATAGGTTCTGATGAGCGATTTTCAAGATTTCGAGGAATTCAGATGACGCTCAGAGTACAATACTATTAGGGAGAGTACGGTATAAACTTCTCTAAATTTTGAATGTTTAGACAACGATTCCGTTGATTTTGGAGTATACTCCAGGTGAGTTTCATTTACAATGTGACGTAAAATGTACTTGTGCTTTGTTGGCTTTACAATCCCTCGATAAACTTTCCAACAATTGCTACTCTGATCACAAAGGATTCCAGGTGGAATCGACTTCCTTTGCCCTCTGTTCCATATTCCAATCGGCAGAGGCACTAATCTCTCCCCGATTCTCATCTCATTTTACCCTGTTCTCGATCCAATTTGTATGCTCTATTTTATCAAAGATTATCGATATGCATTGCTAAGGAAACTCAGATTCAAGTTTGTTTACATTAGAACCTCAGCTGATTAATACTTTTAGCACAAATGCAACAGTTTCAATGGCAAGCGGTGCAAGTGATATATCACAAAAAGCTCAGATTTATCTTCAGAAACCAGAGGGATTTAAAATTGAAAGAGAAAGAGAATCTAATCAATAAATTTTTGAACATTTTTTAACAATGATCATTCACGCTTTACAAAGTTATAATGCAAAAAATAAAAAAAAACAAGAAACACTTATAATACATCGAAATTTCTCATTTGCTACTGCAAAGATAAAACGAAAAGATATTGACATGACAGGGAGTGGCCTTCAAATAATCACTTGCTAATTAATCATTAAACGATTTGCTTTGATTTGTTGATGGAATCTTATCTTCTGTGAAGAGATTCGGATTCGAAATGGGAAACCATTAGAGTACACAGGGAGGAGAGACTCGAACTCGATTGTGGATTGGTTGAAGAAGAAGACACAACAGACAACGGAGACACTGAAGAATGAGGATTTTCTTACCACTGCCAAAATATGAAAATCAGGAAACACTTATAGTACATTGAAATTTCTCATTTGCTACTGCAAAGCTAAAACTAAAAGATATTGACATGACAGGGAGTGGCTTTCAAATTCAAATTTCAAATAATCACTTGCTAATTAATCATTAAACGATTTGCTTCGATTTGTTGATTGAATCTTATCTCCTGTGAAGAGCAATTATTCGATTGATCCTGGCTTGCAAAATGATCTTGCAATGCACCATGATCTTATTGGTCAACTTCTAAATGGGTAAATAAAAAGCTTATTGTCATTTTGAATTGTACTTTGGCAGAACAATACATTTATTTTATTAACTTTAGATCAACATCAACTAATTGCAAGCGAATCAAAATAGACAAAAACCATCAATCAACCATTTCAAGCTGATTTTTCCCTTCGTTCCCATTTTGTTGTACACTTTCGTTGTGAAAAAATGCTAGCTTACTCATATCATCGACAAGATATCAGGCTTCATTAAGTGAATGAAAACTCGAAAAGGCAAAGGAAGAAAGAGCAAAAGAACAAGGGAAAGAAGAGGCAAAGGCACCGGGAAAGAACCAAGCTAATCCACAACAAGGACAAAAGGGAGAACCGGGAACGGCCACTCCTTCCAGTGGACAGGTGAACAAGAAGTCAAAAGATGAATATGGGCCATTTAGTGATTAAAGGGATCAGAAACTGTTTGGTGGTCAAACAATAGTGAAAATCATTTCAGGCACCTCACTACTAGACAGCACTAAAGTACTATCCTTTCATCAAAATCAAGTGCATTTGATGCTCACCTTGTAAATGTTATGTGATTTCCCTAAACAAATTCTTTTATCCTTTTATCTTTTATCGTTTTACTGCATTCCCCAAACGCATTCCTATCCATTGTGTAATTGTTCCATTTCACTCCTTCAATAAATATTGCAAGATTTTTTTGTTTTTCTCCAAGACGATCCATTTGGCGTTTTGATCTTGAAAAGTTAACTTTAAACTTTAAACCATCCGGCCATTTTGCCCTCAATCCTCGGAAAGCTCGCTTATTTCTTGGTGAAGTCATCAGTGCCGGCTCAGCTTGTTTTCAGCGGTTAATCATCTGTTCGGCGACTTCAAATTCGATCGCAGCCGCGTTCGTTCCAAATTTCCTCGCAAATTTGACCGCTTCGAGCCTCGTTTCGGCGGTGTATCTAAAATCATCGTATCTAAAATGAAAAAACGTTAGTAAAATAAAAAAAAAACAGAAAAACAAAAAAAAAACAATAAAAATGAAAGAAAGAAGAAAATTTTCCATCAGAGTCCTTTAAATGTAAATTAAGGCAGAACTTATATTCGGATGAACTTATAGGAGGATCGAGGGTAATAAATTCTTTTAGCCTTTTATCTTTTATCGTTTTACTGGATTCCCCAAACGCATTCCTATCGATTGTGTAATTGTTCTATCCCTGAATAAACATTGCAAGATTTTCTATTTTTTTTTTACCAAGACGATCCATTTGGCGTTTGATAGAGTTTTTAAAATGCTATGATGTAAAGAGCTGCCAAAGGATCGATTTTAAAGAGGTAAACGTCTTCCGTCTTCCGTTGCACTCCTATTGACGTCTAGACAGACAACTGACCGAACAGATCTATCCTCTACTTTCCAATTAAACTGTTAATCGTTCTACTTTCCAATTAATCTGAACGTTCAAACAGTTCAAGTTAATCAACTCAATGTTCGATTCCTCTTACCATTCAACGACCAGCGTTGACCCGAAAGCCCTATTTTCGTGCTCCTCGAAAAACCATTTCAAAGAGGGAGACGTTTCTGTGAGACAATCGGCGTTTTGTCTTCTCTAGAAAGCACTACGAAAGCCTCTATTTATCAGCATAAACTTTTGATGAGTGCATTCGATAAATTTATCAAATGCAGTTTGAACAGGAAAACTTAACAACATTTTTCGAAAATGACTAAATCTTACGCTAAAAACAAACCTGGCAATAAACTTCTCAAAGTAACTCGAAGAAAAGTTTGAGTTTTGGTTGTCCCAAAGTGCCACCATCACATTCGCTTTTTTTGTGTTTTTCCAGCAGAAGTTTCGTGACCAACGGATTTTCATTTTGTAATTTAATTTTTTCTCGTTGTTTTGAGGCAAGTTTTGAGCCAGCAACTGTTTTATGCGGCTTAACACAAAAGATTTATTGCCTTTTTCCTTTCCTCATTTCTTTGTCACAATTTTCTCCGTGAAAGTTCTTATTAACTCGCATTTACTCTGAAAAACTTTGAAGAATTGTATTTTGCTTAATGTTAAATTCTAATAGCTAACCTTTTTCTTTTGAGAAATTATCAAAATTCTCTTTTGACTTAACACTTTTTTAAGGTTTCCTTTATTCTGAACGACGACGATCATTTCATTCTGAACGACGATATCGAATCTTGATTACTTAAAGCCATCATCATCTTGTGCTTAAGTTTGAACAAAAGATTTTCAAAGACTTAACTTGCTGGCCTATTCGGATCTTTCACAATAACAGGGTGCACTTCAATATCAGGGATTACTTTTGGTCACCATGTTTTAGCCGTGATATAATCATGGTTTTAAAACCTTTTGCACATAAATAAGTTTATTTAGATAGATCCGATTTAACTCAATTTTTCTATGCCACTTTTATTTAAACAAAAACTTAAGAAAAACTTGCTAAGGCACGGGAAAAGGCATGCCTAAATAGTATTGAAATGCCACCCCCGTCATTGCGAAAGATCCGCCTATTCGATCTAAATGACCGTTCAAAACTGTTTATTCCACAATCTCACCTTGTAGATAATTATCTTTAGATAGGATGAAGAAGAAACTTCTCATTTCTCTACTTTTTGTCTCAACGTGCTCGATGATGCTACCATTCAAATTTTGCATCTTTAACCAGACATTCGATGACTGGCGGGTTGTTGATATCTCGAATACAGACGACTGGGACTGGCCAGGGGCGAATCGGCCGGAACAACTCCTCAACACACTCATCCAGGGCCACACGAGCCAGTGCTGGGACTTTGCTCCTAATTTCTGGGCAAACAGTGCCCCGTTCAACGCTCGTTTACTCAGTGATCATGACGAATGGGTGAGCTTCTCCAGTCTTTTCTTTCTTTTCTTTACTTTCTTTGCTTTCTTTACTGGAGTTGAAAATAAAGAAAATGTTGTAGCCATCAAAAAATATAGACGTCCACTTGAAACTTGAAAGCGTTTACAGGTGGCGTTTCGTGTCGAGACTTACGATTATCCATGCCACTCTCCGAGTCAACTCATCTTTAAACTGAAGGAGCCAACGATGCTTCCTTTGCTTTGCGGGTCAACACTCAAGTTGGTCGAAGCACCGCCACAAACAACAACAACAACCACCACCTCAACAACTACGATTGCACCCAGTCCAGGTGATTGCAATACATACAGAAGGGTATTTGTGGCAATGCCCTCTTTAACTGGTCATTTTTAAATGTACAGGGTAGTCCAAAATGATAGCAACTCGGCTTTTCTTGATGTAACTCGACAGCCGCCGTTTGTTTCGCTTAGAATATTTTCTAAACATTAAATTGACACTATCTACAACAACAGAAACTTTGGTTTTGGCTGAAAACTTTTTAATTATCTTTTTATAGAAGCTCAAATCTGAGTCACCGTGGTCCAAAAGTCCAATTTACTAAAAACCGTTTAGCTCCTGATGCATCACTTTTCCATTTCTGGCTGCTCATCCCTGTGTTTCCATTGATCTTCCTGGCAATTGGTGTGCTTTTTTGGGTCAAACACCAAAAAATGGGTGCTGCTGTAGAAAGGTTTCGATCAGACATACTAGCTAGTAATCATTTCGAGACAGGGGTCAATTTGGGTCAAGAGAAGACCTTTTACCTTCGATGTTCGTGCCATCAGATCCGGTGGAAGTAAGTGAGCAGAATCAGACTGAAAAACCCTGAAAAAAAATTTAGGGATTTGGTGCAGATTTAGAAGAAAAATTTATTAGTCGGGGATCGTTTGGCGAAGTTTACGAACTCATCAATTACTCAAGGTTCCTTTTGGATGATCAAGACCAGCAGACTTGCTTTCCAGGCCAGCCGTGATCAAGTACGTTAGATGTTTCACAGCAGATGAGGTCGCATTGTACCAAAAAGAATTCGAAGTTCTCGAGAAATTATCACATTCCAATGTGGTGGCTTTGCTGGGAACGATGAAGAGGCCAGGGAAATTTGGGATCATCATGGAGTTCTGCGAGCAAGGGGAATTGAAAAGATGTGCTTCTTTTTCTTTTTTTAAATTACAGTCGAACCCCATTAGTGACCACCTTGAACAATGAACTAACCTCGGTAATGAGCGGACTTTTTAGAGTCGCTTGATACATACAGTGGTCCACAAAAGTAATGCCCCATTGCCATCCAGCAGTATGTTATGTAAGGAAATCTTGTAAAATTGACATTTCAGAAAAAGAGTAGGGTACTTTTATCTACCTATAAGACTCTACTTTTCAAGAGTATAAGATTTATACGTATATTAGGTTGATGCATAAGTCTTTTTGTTCCTTTTCGTCTGCCGTTTCAAGCCAACAAATGCACCAATTAAACTACGGTTGATTTCATTAGAAAAACCAATTATTTTTCTGCAAAATAACATTAAAACGGGTTTAAAAAGATTTTATGCCTGGATTTTCTTGAGAGTATGAAGTCGGGTAGTCAAAAAGGGCTAACTCGATGATGCGGTTTAGACACCTTAGCTAAAGAAAACCTATCTTCGTGTCAATAGATAAAAGATAGAGAAAAAAAAGTTTGATATTTCGCCAAAATTTCAGAGAAATTCATTCAGCCAATTTTTCCGTAGAGTTTTTTATAGTTTTTTACGAAAAAGGCGTTTTCACTCTCGAATTTGCTTGAAAGTGAACCGAAATTCATTTAAAAAGATGCAAATTGAACAAAAAAACACTTTTTTTATAGAGCAAACTATAGATTAATTGGTGAATTTGTTACTTTTTAACAGAAGTACGAAAAAAACGAAAAGACTTATGCATCAACCTATTACATTACATACAAATTAAAGTATAAAAAAAACCAATAAGTTACTTAAAAATTAGCTCCACAAAAGTAATGCCCCATTTGCAAAGAATTAACATTTTTTTAAATCAATACTTGGTTGGTCCTCCTTTTGCTTTTATTACTTCATTGAGTCGATTCGGCATGGAATCCACGAGATTCTTCAAAAGACTTTGAGGGATGGTGGCCCAGAGACGTTGAATGTGAACCCATAAGGCAGCTTTCGAATCGAATTTCTTTCCCTTGAGTCGCGACTCCACAAATGACCAGAGATGCTCGATAACATTGATATCCGGTGACTAGGGAGGCGGATTGATCAATTTGACTCGACTTGCCGCGAACCAGCCCGGAAGTCGTGCTCGTGTACCATTTTGAAGAGTCACCACCGTTCCCATCATGAGCCTTGACTTGTGTTTCGGGTCGTTGTCCTGGTAGAGCATCCATCCAGGAGGCATCGTCTGTGTGGCAAAAGGCAGCATTTGGGTCTCCATAATGTTCTTGTAAGCCACAGCATTCACAGCGTTGAGTTGACGTGAACTAATGAACCTATTGAAGTTCGTGACATCGCTCCTAAAGAAAAACAGTCAGGCGAAATGCGGCGCACTGTCCATATCGAGCAATTGAAGAGGTTGGCCACATCCTTCTCCCGCATCCCATTTTCCCGGGCCTTAGCGATTTGGAGCTTCTTCGGAGTGTCAAGATTTTTCATGTCAGCGACCTAAATAATACAATAGAATACACTTAATGTTCATAGAAGCGAAAACAAAAAGAATAATCATGAAAACGATCAATGGGGCATTACTTTTGTGAAGCTAATTTTAGGGTAAGTGCACTCTTCCACATCGATCTTTTGTTTGGAAGGATCTCAATCAAAAAAAAAAATCCAGTTATTTAACAACTAGAATTTTTAAAGTATTTTAAAAGAAAAAAATATATTTTAAACATATGTTTCAGGAGAAATTTTGCAAAAAATACTTTTGAATGGCAATGGGGCATTACTTTTGTGGACCACTGTAAATCTATCTAACTTGACATTTTTAGTGACCGTATTTTACAGGATCTCTTTCTTAGGTCACGAACGAGGTTCGACTGTAGAAGGTTATTAGCCATAAGCCGAGGATTTTCATTTAAAAACCACGCAAACTGCGCAAAGATCTCGGATTTTCGAAAGCTTTTCTTACTTCAGTGCTGCACGACTCACGAATCGTCTACACGATGCGAACTGTGGTCACGTGGAGTGAGCAGCTCTTTGAGGCAGTTAGGTACATGTATCGCGAATTCAACCTTATCCATCGAGACATCAATCCGGCAAAGTAGGGTGAAAACGTTTCTGAAAATCAACTTTTTAGTAGTATTTTCGTGACGAGCAGATTCCACTTGAAAATGGGCGACTTCGGCTTATCGAAATGCATAGAGCAAAGCTGCTCTGGGACTTTTGTGGGAACACCTCGGTACATTAGTCCCCCGCAAAGAAACTTTGGTGATCAGGAGAATAACACCGATGAGCTACAAGTGCTTTTTTACTTCTTTTTAAAAAAATAATATGCTTTTTTTCATTGAAGAACTCGCATCGAAACGATATCTTCAGTTTGGGTCTCGTCTTATGGGAAATGATAGAAAGGAGGTTCGGTTTCATACCATAAATGATGTATTAGAGAGCCGTGTAAAGTTACGTAGTCTAATTTTTAACGCTCATATCTTAGCGCTAATTCGTGTTACAATGTTGGGTGTCAAACGATACCTTGTTAAAGCATTTTTGTATGATTTTTTGGTACCAAAGGTTTAATTGGGGGAATAGTGATCCTGTGAAAAAAATCGTCTACACTACACTACACTACACTACACTACATTACACTACACTACATTACACTAAACTCTAAGGCGAAATGTGAAAGTTTTATTCAGACTCTTTTGTTTACAGAATTGTCTTCGCCGACTATGGTAAAGAGCACTTCGATCGAGACCATTTTGTGACTGATGTCTTAAATGAGAAACCTGATATGTTGTCGCTACCGAAATGTCCATCCCACTTTCAGAAGATCATCGAAAGGTTCCGAGCTTTTTGTCTTACCAATTCATTGTTACAATTGTACCAATTGTTGAACAGATAAATTTCAGTTGCACCAACTTCAATCGGCGTTTAAGACCGATGGCCGCCGAGGTTCTCTATCAAATCAATAAGGTGTAGTCTTTTGAAGTGCATCTCCCCTAAAACGCTTTATTTTCAGCCAATCCCTTTCGACAATGAGTTCCACTTTGAGCCGATAATCGACGAAGAACAAAAACGAATTTTGCGTCCGATCGGCTTTGACGAATCCGTTGAAAGAGTGCCGATCGAAGAAGAAGCCGCGAGTGATTTGGGGTTCACGCTAAGCGTCATTCATGGAGTCTTCGCCAGCGAAACACAACCAATAAGCTAACAAAAAAGTATGAAGGAAAATTTTATGGGTCATAAAATTTGTGTCTGCTTTTGATTTCAGTATAGCTCAAGATTTATTCGAACAGAGATATCTCTAACAATAAGCACAACGGCTCGTCGCGAACGTGTCAAATACGCGAAATTTTGTGTCCTTCCCCCTCCCCTCCCCGGGGCATCATTTCATTTCATTACCATTATGTGTTCGGTCTTTTCATGGTGACACAAATCGAACTGTTTTCGATAATTCTTGATCCACTTTCTTTATTTTTACCCTATTTTGTTCTAGCTCTCAAATTTCAAATCTTGCTCATTTTTTGCTTGGACTTTAGCCTTGGTTTGTCAGTTTGTTTGTTTGTTTTTGGGTCCTTGCGGATATTTTCTCCGCGAATTTCCACAGAAGCAAATCCCTCACATTTACATTTATGCACGTGAATTAGTATTTGAAAACTGGGTAGATGATTTTAGTTTGAGTTGTGAAATAAGTGAGCATGTGAAAAAGTTATTCGGAGAAAATGTCCAGAAGTTCTCCACAGCGTACAGAGTGGAGATTTTCTCCGCGTTTTTCATATGCAAATTGAAGCAAATTTCGGTATTTGCAGGGAGAAATCCACAACTGCCTAACTTTTCACATTTATAATATATAGCTTATGTAACAAGTTGATGTTGGTTTATAAATTAAGTTGTTCTCAGATGTCCTCCCCTTCCTCCTCCTCCTCCCCTTCCTCCTCCTCCTCCCCTTCCTCCTCCTCCTCTCCTCCCCTTCCTCCTCCTCCTCCTCCCCTTCCTCCTCCTCCTCCCCTTCCCCTTCCTCCTCCTCCTCCCTCCCTCCTCCCTCCTCCTCTCCCTCCCTCCTCCTCCCCTTCCCTCCTCCCCTCCCTCCTCTTTCCTCCCTTCCCTCCCTCCCCCTCCTCCCTTCCCCTCCTCCTCCCCTTCCTCCTCCTCCCCTTCCTCCTCCTCCCCTTCCTCCTCCTCCCCTTCCTCCTCCTCCCCTTCCTCCCTCCCTCCTCCTCCCCTCCTCCTCCTCCCCTTCCTCCTCCCCTTCCTCCTCCTCCCCTTCCTCCTCCTCATCGACAGTCACTCCTCCTTTTCCACCAAGCTAAACCAACCCAAACAGTCCAAAAGCTAAACCAACTCAAAAAAACAAGTTCTTTATAAGGACAGCTACCTAAAGATTTCTAAGCCCATTTTCAATTTTTCAATCGTTAGTCAGCCAGATTTTAATCTAGGGCGCTTAGCTAATGCCCTTTGAATTGAATGAGTCAACAAATCAACCGGATATTCAAACATTCGAACAATTTGCAGGAGATCGGCTTGGAATACGTTGATCGAGGCTACCCAACACTGAAACTCTTCCGAAATGGGAAACCATTAGAGTACACGGGGAGGAGAGACTCGAACTCGATTGTAGATTGGTTGAAGAAGAAGACACAACAGACAAACGAAGACACTGAAGAATGAGAATTTTCTTACCACTGCCAAAATATGAAAATCACGAAACACTTATAGTACATTGAAATTTGGCATTAGTGGCTTTCAACTAATCCCCATGAATAATTTGCTTCGATTTGTTGATGGAATCTTATCTTCTGTGAAGAGTGACATCAATTATTCGATTGATCCTGGCTTGCAAAACGATCTTGCAATGCACCATGAAAGCTTATTGCCATTTAA